ACACCTATTGCTACCAGAGGCGACCCCCACCCCACCCCCTCCCTCCGTTCGGGCCCGCTTTGCCCTTGAGGGTGCATTCCCACCCTCGCTGCTGGCCGCGCATTTGACCTCGCTTCCAGAGGCAGCCCCCGATGCCCTCAATGGGCCCCCAGGTGTCACCACCAGCACAGATGCAGACCCCACCCTGCCACTCACGGACGCCCCCTCGGGATCCCCGGCCGGCAACTGCCCTTTAGATGCCCCAACAGCTGGCAGCTGTTGTAGGTTCAGAGCCCCCTTCGTGCTGGGTTCCAAATCCGAGTCCCCCAGGCCCCCCGCCACCAAATGCGAAAAGTCAAATAGGTCCGTGAGTGGGGCGCTGCCGCCAACAGACGCCCCCTGGCCTTCCCCCCCTGCCGCTGCCACTGCCGTCCCCGCATGCTCAGATCCCTCACTTTGGGGGGATGGGGGACCGCCTTTCCGGGCGCCCCTCTGTCTGGCCCCGGGCATCCCCTGCCGCAGGCTGTGGGGGGCCGCCTTGGTGATGTCGGGCCGGGGGCCGTGACTCCCTGGCCTTCACATGCCGCCGCCGCTGCGTCTGCTTGGTCTTGCCACCCATCGCAATAGGCGCAAACTGTGTCGCAGGGGGGCAGGGGCACCACGTTTGTGGACCGTGGGGCGCGCGGCCCATGCGTCAAATCTGATCGCTGCATTCTTATTGGTCCACGCATGAATTTGATGTTGTTATGTACTGTGAAGCGGCTTCCAGAACGGGTTCTAGGACGGCCTGGGACGGCCTTCAGAACGGCCTGGAACGGCCTTCGGAATGGCCTGGAATGGACTCTAGACCGGCCTGGAACGGACTCTAGACAGGCCTTGGGCAGTACAGGAACGGACTCCTAGGTGGGCCGTACTGCCCTGGAACGGAATTGGGACGGCTGCATACCGTCCCAGATCCGTCCCAGTCCGTTCCCAGCCAGGGACGGATCCGTCCCTGGCCGTTCTTGGGCCTGCCGGCCCAAGGACGGGGACGGACTCTGGTCCGTCCCCGTTCCCGTCCCCGTTCCCGTCCCCGTCCCCGTTCCTAGTCCGTCCCCATTCATGGACGGCCCACCTCTGGGCGCGGGGGGTGGTGTATCCCCCATTCTCTACGGTAGTGTTTGTTCCCAACTGATGCAACAATTACTTTTTGAAGCATTATTGCAAATCTAAGTTTGGTTCTCTTTGGGAAACAAGAAATGATTGCCACGAGCGCCCTACTCCAAGACCCATAAGTTGCTTAAAATTAAGTACTGTCAGGTCCTGTCACCTCTATTGCAATGCCATCAGACGAGGCTTGTTTTATGTGCTAGTCAATTTGGGAACGCGGTGCCGTCCTTGCAATCGTGGAGTACCAAAGATGCCTTGAATAGCATACACCAAAACGACACGAGTGCAGTTCAACTCTGCGCCAATCATTTGTTCTTGCTATCATTTCTTGTCTTCTTGCAAGGGCACTTCTTTCAATCATTAACAATATCTTCCAGGAATCTAGGAATTTTGGATGCTAGTTTTCGTTGGTGCAATGGCTACGATTTTAATGAACAAATCATGGACACTACTCCTGTTGGGCAAATGCGGGGCTTGCAACAACCTATTTGCATTGATGTAAATAAAACTTGAAGAATACAATGAACAATTGATGGCAGGAACAACGCACTACTGTATTGTCCAGAAAAGCCGTAGACCAGAAATGCGGGACATCTAACAAGATATTTCGAAAGAATGATTTCCCTCAGGTCCCTTGTCACAATAGGGAAGGCGCTATGTTGAAAGTGTTATGTTTAGCGTCAATTCAATGCTTAATTATTATATAATTGACACAATTTTGCCAAAAGATTTGAAGATATACAAAACGCCATTGATCCAAGGCAGACAACTCATGACTTGTTCCAAACCCCCCCTCAAGCCATCAAATTTAAATGAAGACCCCAACATACCCCAAATGGCTAGCCATTGGGGCAGGCCCGATCACCTAAAATGGTATTGATCATCACGTTTTTTTTAGCGCATTCCAATTGCTGCAATTTTGGCAGTTTATGTTCGTTAAAAACACTTCGAAATTGTCTAGCTGTGTTATGTAAGGTTGCTGGGTCGTCCTGACATCGACATAAGGATTGACGCTTGGAGAGGCCTTATTGTCAAATTGACGCTGAATATACTATTCGAGCTACCACAAAATGGAGTGTTATGAACAGCCATCTTTGCCCATTATGGTGCTTGCTCATTTCACAACCACCGCCGATGACCTCACTGAATAGGATGGCCTAAGTATGCCACTGTTTCAATTATAAAAAATGGCATTTTCCAATGTTGTAGAGGGCGATGTATACCGCAGTGCCAATGCACTTTAGGCACAGGAAAGTGCTGCCAAAACCATGAAACATTATGGTAATGGGGCTGCATTGACCAAGTTAGACAGGCAGGATAACATTGGGTAGTAAGAGCACTGGAGAGGTAGCATTGCGCACCCCGACATACCGGAAGGGCGCCTAGAGTACCGCGGTACATTGAAAGCCCAAATGCGGATAGTCAGTGGGATCCCATCTAACACGAGGGACGTGGCCATGAAGGACATGGTGGAAATGGTGCATAGAGCTATTTTGCTTGCACGCCCGGCCGCACAAGGTTGAAAGCAACATGACGAAACGTTCACTACCCCTGGCGGTGTGGCACCGCAAGCTAGAGTGGGATCTTGCACAAATAGGGTGCTAGTTGGCAGAGTGGCGCATTGGAAGGCCACACTATGGACACCCATAATGGAAGCTCAAGTGCTCCATTAAGTAGTATAAGACCGCCACTGACCGCGCAGTAGTCTTCCCTCTAGTGTCTGAATATGTCGCACCATGCCAAGCCATCCAAGAGCGATATAGGGAGGTGCAGGTGGTACCAGCAATGGAGTCAACGGAGGTTCAGACTGTGCGGACACGAGTGGAGCGGCTGGATGAGGAGCTATGCGCAAAAGTGAGCAACAGGTCGACACTAGTCATGGTGCACCATGAGAGGCAACGAGAAGCCGCATGGATGGTTTTCCATCATGCCCATCCATGAATTCTAGGGGGCCATCTTGGCTTGGCTCCCCGCAAAAGGCGCCATGCCACTCTGCTGCTTTGTTCCCTGCTAGACCAAGGCTCAAATGGAGATTCAATGGGGAGTGTGGCTTGACGTGGTGCGGCAGACCGGACCTGGTCTACCTTGAGGTAGCATGGGCTACGGAGGGCGGAAGCAGGAGCTATGGGTAGGCCTAGATACAATGGGACGATGAGCGTGTGGACTGCATGGAGCAGATGGGCGCAAGGCCAGTTCACCACGAGGTTGCCATGGGGCCTTCGGACAAAGAGGGTAGCTCAGAGTCAGAGTGGGAGTCGGCGGACCGCAGATCAGAGTCGGGGGTTTAGTGTTGGGTTAATAATTGGAGTTCCCGGTGTGAAGAGGTAGCCAACATCAGAGTAGTTAGAGCTGATGGAACAACGGGGATGCAGGAGTCTTGTGTGGATTTGCGGCAGTGTTCTGGGAATGGGACACGGGCAGAGATTTGGTGCGAGTGAGAAGGTGACACGGTAGGCTACAAGGCTATTTATTCTGCAGTTGACCGGAGGAATGGTGTCTCATTGTTGAACAAGACCGGGCTATCCTGTAACAAGTCCTGCTGTTTGCTTACCATTTGTGCACCACCCGCGAGCTCGAACAAAATTAACTGGAGGCTTTCTGCAGCTCGTGCCCAAAACACCCAATATGATTGGGGTAGACGGGGTGACGCCGCTCCAGCCATCAGGGGCTCGCCGAGGGCTAGTCCCGACCAGCCAGGGAAGGTAGGTGTGCACAGCGGGGCGTTTCCATGTGTTTTGACTGGGATCAGGGCTAGTTCTGACCCATGACCTTCCGGGGTCCGAAGTGCTGGGTAACTTGGCATGAGCTATGCGAGGGCCTGGGGCTGGGTCCAACTTGGAGTGCATGTTTACTCTCAATATGTGCTTCCGTGAAAGGATATTGAGTTGTGACATGGTGGGGAGGTCCAAGACAGTATACTGGTCGTGGGGCTGGAATGCATGAGTAACTACTAACCCATTTTAGCTATTGACTCATGTTGACTGAAGTATGGTGTGTTGGTGAGTGTAGACCTGCACTGTATATGCAGGGTTGGGTCACAAACAATACCGAAGTGGGGGTATGTAATGGTGGACTAGTCAGACCAGGGTCCGGCGTGACCCGATGTGCATGTCTGATTGAATGCCGGTCTGTAAATATGCCCTAACGTCTATTTGGAAAGTGTTGCTATTTATACGACCGAGGGTGGCAGGTCCACCTTTGGGACTTCGCTTACCACCACCTGTATGACTGCATCTGCGGTGGGAAGTGTACTGCTGCCTGTTTCTCGTTCTGAAGTGCAGCCTGCTGCATGGGAGTACTGCAACACCGTTTACGCTGACTGTGTGGTCATGTGCGCGGAGTACTACTGCTGCAAACGCGTTAAACAACCATCGTCTGCTGTCGATGTGACAGTGCCCTTCCAAGGTCTTCCATCTGCACCTCATCTTCGATCACTGTTCTCGTTTTCTCCCCATTTTTCGAGAATGGTGCAACAATACCCAAATCGACATAGCGTCTTCCCTTATGCAGCTTCCAAATATGAAGATCTGTCTGCAACGGACACTCTCAAACGTACTGACGATGGCAGCTTCGAGCCAATCGCAACTGCACAGCGTTGCACTGCACAGCGTTGGGGAAACGCCAGAATGTATAATCTACGCTGGAACAATCTTGCATTGTCACACAGCAGTCTTGATAGCAGATCGTATCGGCAGCTGCGAACTGTCAGAACACAAACCCTCAATTTCTGTTTTGTACATCCCTTGCCCTGTTTCGGAGGAATTTTGAAGTTCAACTGCACAAACCTGCACGCCCACTGCCTAGGCACTGTCGATGCTAGTACACATTGTAGTCGCGAGGTGTATTGAGTCAAGAGACCCTGTTGCAACCGGCTAGAGAAGCCATTTCTTGCAGTCTCTTGCCCCGCAATGACATTCCAACTGCCGGTTATTGACGTCCCCCTTCAAGTAGCCATAATCGTAGGTGAGCTCTTCGTAGGCGGGTATGTGACGAATCGCAAAGAATGCAATGTCGTAGAACAGACCATTGGAAAAGGGTGGCGTCAGCACGGGTTGGCCGACGAGATTGATCTTCTCGCCACAGGCATGGTTAATGAAGCGCGAAACATTGCCTGTGGCAACAGAAGCCCCTGTGTTTCAGTTGAGAATTCCAAACCTTCTGAGCATCTCAGGCGCAGGCCCACGTCGACTCCACATTGCACAGCTGCTGTGCAAACATGACCCATGCTGCATAGGGTCGTTGTTTGCGGTGCTGTTCTCTGTTTCCGGTCTGAGAAAGTCGCCAAATCCGGAAACCGCATCAAAGAAAGCAATGGAGGCACAGAGAACTTCCACACTGGGGATCACCGTGAACTGCTGATAGCCATTCCATATTAGCTGCAGGTTCAATGCCAAGCTGCATTCCAAAAGAGTGGTGCTTATAGCGGCCCTTCAAGACGACATCTGACATCAGAACTTCGATACACCCATGAATTTGCAACGAGACTACAGCAATTCGCAGCAATTCTGCAGTACTACCAGCAGATCTAGCCTACCTTTACAACGACCGTCGATAACTAGATATCGGCCATGGTAGTCATCCTTCCGCAATTCATCATCAGAGAAAGGCAAAGGAACAATCTCATCCCCCGTGTCCAGAGTGCCCTTCAAATACTTTTTCCTCATTTTTATGAAGTTTGATAAATCGAACAAGTACTCATCATTTTCCATCTCCTCCTGCACACAGGCACGTCTCAGCGCATTTCAGTGCACCCCACGGATTCAACGCAATACTAATCTCACCCCAACACAGAGGTGGAGGTGGCTCAGCGTGAATTAGTCGCCAAAGATGCAACAAATAGGAGGAGCAATGTCAGCGACTGTAGCAGGCTCCACATATCCACATCCGAGTACCAGCTTTTCAGCCAGTCGGCTGCTAGACTAGTTTGCATTGCGTAGGACATTTAATCATCCAGGTACCCCGGCAGCTCAACGCCCAAGCAACTGCAGTGGAGAAACCACCCCATCCAGAACGTTGGACGTACACTCGCAGCTGCAACCCATGTGCAAACGCACATAGACAGCCCAGAAAACGCATGCATCAAAATACCAAGGCTGCAGGGAGGGAGCGGACGAAGAGGAGGAATTGGGAGGGTGCCACCCAATCAACTTACGGCTTCAACGTCGGTGCGCAGCTCCCCTGTGTACTTGCACACAAAGGCCCCTGCAGGGATGTCCGCACTGCACCTGACGCCCCACCCTTTGCTCTTGCCCGTGTAGAAAATCTCCAGAGGGTAGCATATGCCCTTTGCAACGACGCGATTCGAGGCACACTCTTTGCCGCAGGAGCTGCCACACTGCGCGCACAACCATGAGCCCAATGGAGAGCCAGGCATCCTCGAAAAGCTGGTCTCACGTAAAGCTGCGACCCCATACAGAGCTGCAGGAAAGAGACGGGGGCATATTGCATTGCGTCTATTAATTCCGACCACAGTTGGAACCAAAAAAGGAACCAGTTATGTGGCATGAACTGCTTTGCAAGCAATAGATCATAGTAAGGCAGAACATGGAGGGTGTACGAGGAACGTGGCCCAGACTTCCTCACTGTGATCACACTGAATCACAGCACACCACATTTGAATTGCAACGAAGAATGGCATGATGAGGGGCACTTTATCATGAGCGAGAGGACATGTGGCCATGTTGAAAATCCAAGGAAAATATCTGAAATCAGACATGACGCATGACACACTGCAGACTTTCTCAAAACATCCCAAAAGTCCACAACACTTAAAGCAATTCAAAGAACCTCGACCAAATTGCAATCGAAATATTTGATCAAAATGTCACAAAACAATCAGTAATCATTTCGCCCAGAACGACAGCTGCGTCGGCGCCTATTGGCACCTGGGTTCATCGAGTGATACATGGCACCTGCTGGAATCGCGTGTTCTTGGACACGACTGATTTACATTGCTGCAAAAAATATTACCGCTATGACAATATGCTATTGCATGTGCAGCAAAAAATACCTGCTATGCTGAGTGTGATATCCATTCTGCTACAGTCGTGGAATGACAGGCAAATGGAAGCTGCCAGGTGCTGGGTGTGTGAAGAGCCCAATGGCAACCTTTTGACGCAATCGGGCTGGAACAACAGCTATTGGGCGCACCATGTCCTCAATGGTTTCTAGCAGGTTGCTAATATCCGCATTTCCACCTCAAGTGCACAACAGTGCTTTCCTTCATACCATTCCTACGCTTGCTTGCAGACAGCACCTTCAAAAATGCTTCTGCACTTTGAGTCCTCATCTTGTCCCTGGCCCTCTTACCTCAAATACTCCAGCAACAAGATTCATCTCTAGCAGGAGACCATCTTCATAAAAATATGGCGGTTCTCGTGGGCGTTGGCACCCAAAGACCCTCCACTGGCTCATCGACTCTTCAAGCAATGGTTCAACAGATTCGCTCAGCACTATGTTCATCTCATACTGAAAATCCTCTGGCGAAGGAGGCATGGTTTTGTCATACTCGTTTACCACAGGTATGAACACACGTTCGTTGGTCCTGCACAGCTACAAGGGTGTCAAAACTAGAGTTGGGAGTTTCCAAATGAGAACTCATTCTGGTCTTCAGTCCCAAGAAAATGGAGTGCAACTCTATATCATCGCACAAGGTGGCACAGGCGCTACTTAATCTATCAATCAAATGAGTAGAACTCTGAAATTCAGTCAACGACATGCACCGTTAGGATCAGTCTTTGTCTCTGTGTTGGGCATGGCACATTTGGGAAGGCTCCACATGTCTGCTGATAAGGTGCACAAGACACCTGATTGTTTAAAAAAGATGCAAGGCAGGGATTCAACCAAGAAACAATGGACATCAATAGCTAGTCAGGATGAATAAAAATGCGACAATTTGTCCATTCAATCACAGACGCAATGGTATGATTGTGTTGTCAATGCTGTAGCCCAGTATTTTCTATCCTTTGGTTGTTGGATTACACTGGCTGACGATGGATCGCAACCCAACGAGAAGCAGGGGCGCTCATGAGGCGCCAATGATTCTGTGCTCACCCTGAATAGTCCTCAATAAGAACAGCGGGGTTATCTGTAAAACCAAACCAGGCAGTCAACCTGATGCTATGTATAGCAAAGTACTTCTTTTGTCAGGAAAAAATTGCCCTCTACTGAGAGACAATTCATTACAACAACGGCCTCAAAATCACAAAGGAGTTTAAAATCAGAAATGTTGGGTCTGAAAACCCTAACCAATTTTCAAGAAAGAAAGTGAGACACAACCACTTTGAGCATTGGTAAAAGGTAAATTTCGGTCAGTATTGACCCAAAAAATCGAGGTTTATTTAGATGAAAGCCCTTGATACAAAGTACTTTCAATTCCTCAATAGCCAATGGATTGGCTGGAGATTTCGACAGTATAATCCAAACTTGGAAGAAATTTGATTGAAAATCGAAGATTCCATGATGGAGAAGTACAACATCAAATTCATAGAGGACAATTAATTCAGGACAGAGGAAGTATGTAGGCATGGGTTGCGTGTCGTCCCCATCAAAAGCAAGTGATCAAATGGACAGAAATAGACAAAACATGTCATGCATAAGCTGCCTTGCATAACCCCATATTATAGTGAACTGCAATTGCTTTGGCATTGATAAAAATGCACCTGAATAAACTTGAAAATACCACAAAGGCACAAGCAGACATTTTAACAACTGAGAACCACTGCCATTGGAGGGATCCTGGCTTGTACCATGTGTGTATGGGATTGTTGAGATGGATTTCAATTGGATAAATGGGACTTGTCATAGATGCTGTTTGATCAAGGGTCAAACAGTCTCAATTCGAATACTTGGACCAAGCAATCACAATTTGTTGTGAATTCTGATGTGCTAAGGCCCCCAAGAGTACAAAGCTTCGTTGAATGATAATGTGCAGGAATTTCCATTCGATTGAGTCTCTTTGCCTCACATCAACTTGTGAGACGACACAAGGCCCACCATTCCTTTGACAAACAATGTTTGTAATAGATTAAATTGTCAGCACTTGGCAGAAGTTAAATCCGCTACCATTGAAAGTATGCCAGAAGTTTAGCACCAAAACCAAAGTCCTTAGACAATGCATAATGTGGTGGGCACCTCAATTTACACCCTTACTAATGACTTGTTTGCAACAAGCAGCTTCTGACCACTCCCCAAGTCACACCAATGAGAAAGAGCACAAAATCTTGACTTCCAAATGCAATGTATTGCTTTACAACATGAACACCCACCTCCATGAACTCATATGGAAGAAAGCACATGCAATTGCAGTGTAGCGAGATAATGCTCCTTTCTGAAGTTAGGGCCCAAAGAGTACAACTATCGAAAATGCTTCACCATGCTTTCAAACCACCTCAACCAAGCAAGTGGCACCTTGCACGCACCCAATCCTGCCACCCACAGGGGCCTCGATTGGCCCCCATCACTGGCGGGATCCAGCGCCCATGAGGTGCCACTTTTTTCCCAAGAAAATGGCGCCCTGCGCGGGTGCTCAATTCCGCCACCTGCAAGGGCCTCGACTGAGCCCCATTGCTGGCGAGATTGGGTGCCCACAGGGCACTGTCTCTTTGTCAAAGGGTTGCCCACTCGAACCATCTGGCCGTTAGCTGTGTGGAGAGGCAACAATGCGGTGGGGTGTGGTAGGGGTGGGGCGTGGAGAGGCGCCCCGGCCAGTTGGAGCCGCTATCAGTGGTGGAGCAGCTGGGTGGAGGCTGGGTGTGTCAGCCGGGGTGGTCACAATGCCCTCGCATGTGACAATCCCAGCCGGAATAAGGTTGGAATAGGCGAAAACGAGGGTGGAATGGGCTAGAACGGGTTGGGAATGCAACGGGAACTGAAAAAACAAATACCATTCCTATTCCCACTCTACCAAAAGCTCCGTCAGCCCACCTATGCTATGAAGCTTTTTTGGTTGCTTGATAGCTCACCGTCATAGGCTACTTGGTCGATGGGGCTGATTCATAAATGATATTTTTGTCGCCTTTCGTTACTAGTGCATCAAGTGCTTTTCGGGGAAATTGATTTTCAGATAGAGTTTTTTTGCCAACCGTTTCTTTAGGCTACGCTACCCGCTTACAGGTATCCAAATGGCTAATTCCACAAACAGTTATCCAAAACCCATGATAATAAATATGGCAATTTTTCCATAACGTCTTAATATGCCAATACGCGGGTCCAAGATGTCGTTGAAATGATACAACCCAAAGTCAACTATTCCTTAGCCTCCAAGAACCATTCTTATACCTTTAGGACAGAATGACCAATTGAAAGGGTATGAATACGAGACGTGCATGAAATACTCTACCCAAATAGTCCAAGGATTCAAAGAGTGTAGTCTCCCCTATGCTCTAGAGACGCATACTGATACACTCTTGCGAGTTGGGGTTCCAAACGCATTTAAGTCTGGACCCGCCTTTCCAAACAACCTAGACCTTATTAGGTCTAGGACATGAAGTCTAGGACATGAGCCCCCCCCCCCCTTCTATAACTTAAGTGTAACACATACCTCAGAGGTTATGAGATCAATTCATGCTAAATGAGTTTTCATGTATCATGAGTAGACTATCAAGATCTTATCATATTTCACTCATTAGCTCTCAACCCCACACCTCTCTAACACTCATCGTGCTTTGCTCTTTGCTAAAAGAAAGCTTGATGTTGCATCTTGGGAATGTGAAGGCTTAGGAATGCTCCTATGAAAGGTGACATACATTCACAAATATCTAAAAAACACAAAACGATGCTTTAACATTTAATCAACATTGAGCTTTGAATGCTCCCTAGAGTCAATTGCTAACAATGTGAGATCATGTAGCCTAGTGTTGCTTGTGAAAGGTCCTTGATATACTCAATGTTATGGAAATGATAGTGGGGAAGTTAGTATTGACCATTGGTTCTTCACTATTGAGTAGTAGTGGGATTGGACCCTTTATACGTATTAATCATGATCTCCAGATCTCTCCAACTACTGAATTTATCCTAAACCCCTTATTGTTGGTGAAAATATGGCCATTATAAGTCCTAGCGCTTTGGGACAGGCCAAGGAGGAAGAATACGGTTAGAGTATCGGCACATGAACCGATATTGGGGTGCATTGGACATGGCACGGCCACTAGACTCTTGTACTTTGTACATGTTTGTCTTTGGGTCTTTGGATAGGCCCAAACTGACCAATCAAAAGCTAGCAAATAGAGTGGTGTCAAAACACCCCATGCAACCTTTGTTTAGCTCACTAACACGCACCACACGAGCCTCGCAACCCTGGGTGCAGGCTATTCCGCAATGCGCCATCCTCGGATGGCAAGGCCACCGGATCCATGCATAGAGAGGGCCCACCACGCATACAGGGGCAGCAACACCTTGACATCCAAAGATCTGAATGGACCCCGAGGACCGGTGACCGGCACCAAATGCAATGAGTGGCCAAAGGCAAAGGGACCTAGTGGGGGGCGGTGTCCGGCAGCCGGCTCCCGCGCAACACTCAATGTTATGTGTGTCTTGTTCAGGCCGGTGGTGGACAACACACTTGATGGAAGAACATTTTCGACTGTCCCCATAGAAAGGCATAAAGATGTTTGAGCAGTCCTTGGCACAACAACATATACTTCCTCTGTTCCGAATTAATTGTCCTCTATGATTTTGGCACTGTACTACTCTATCACGAATACTTCAATTTTCAATGAAATTTCTTCCAAAGTTGTTCCTATGTTTTAGGAGTATACAGTCAAAATTTCAAGTCAATCTTTCAAGTATCGAGAATTTGGCAATACTTCGTAGCAAGGGGTCTCAAGCCGAAAAACCACCCATTTTCAATGAAGTCATCGAAACGGCCGTTTTTCACGATGGTGAGGGGCACGTGTTCCCGGCGGCGAAACAAAACCGCCTATGAAGAACTTTCAACGTTGTTCAGACTGAAGGTCAGAGCGGTCCTAATGAAGAGGCAGGGCGACAAAAAACGAGTTCCGGCGGGCTTGATCGCCGAACTCGCCGCGGCTTATGGCTGCAATTCAAGGACGATCCGGCAGATCGGAGCTGTCTTCAGGGCCCAAATTTCTGGGCGAGGAGTTTTCGACCTTCATCGCCAATGTCAGGGCAACTGCAGGAGGCGCCCCAATGTTGCCGACAAGGTGCGATCGAAGGTGTTGGCGATCTCCCCGTTAGATCGCAAACGATTCAGGAATTGGCTGCCACGACAGATTTGCCGAAATCGACAATTTGAGCACTTGAGGGGAATGGGTGCAAGAAGGATAGGCATATGGATCAAGTTGTGTCTCACACAAGAGCAGGGATATGCTAGGCTGCGCTGGATTGTCAGCCACATGCGAAAAGCTGGGTGGAAAAGTGGGAATTTTTCGATTTTGCAAACACGATCCACATAGATGAAAAGTGGTTCTATGTGATGAAAGATGCCTAGAAAGTGTGGGTTCTTCAAGAGGATGGGCGTCCCGGTGCTCCAAAGG